AAGTATGTGTGAAAAATGTATAATAATAAAGCAACAAGAACGTAGATACCATGTGTGTATATGTGTGCACTAATACTTAAAAACGTGGATGAAATCGGCTTTTTCACACTACTAGGGTCATGTATTTGAAAGGAACATGTTAGCTATGTGGCACAGTGTAAGTGTTTATTTATATTTGTCATACAAAGCATCTGCGATATGTTTTACTTCTTCCGTTTTATTCAAAATATAAGCAGTGAAACAAAAACGGTATGCACGATAAATATCGAAATGGTTTCGATCCCAACATTTTTTATATAGATAATTACATTTACCAAAAACAGATGAATAAAGAATATATAATAGACGTGGCTAGAAAGCAAAACAATTGACTTACCTACACAATAAACAAAAAACTACTTTTAATTAACTACTTTATTATTGAATAAAGAAAAATATTGTAACTTAAACCGAAAAAGAAATATAAATGATTATAAAACGAATATATTGCAGAAAATTGATGATCGTTGATCGCTGTTTGAAGTAAATTGGTTGACTGTTATATTGGGTGTATGCATTAATTTTGATCGCTGACAATTAGATGTCCCTTCTTAAAATTGTGTGTAGCTTGACAGGTGAATCCAATTGCATTTTGTACATGTGACATTTGCCAATCTAATTCAGAGCAGAAAGGTTTATATTTCCACACAGTGTCATTAATTTTTTATCAATTCAAAATGGATCGCGATAAAATGTTTTTCCGAAGTTCCCTTCTTCTCTTATTTGATTCCAAGAAAAATGCCGCTGAAGCACATCGAACGCTTTGGGATATTTATGGCAAACAAGCTCCATCAGAACCGAACTGCAGAACATGGTTTCAACGGTTCAAAAGTGGTGATTTTGATTTGAAAGACGAAGAACGACTAGTTCAACCAAAAAAGTTTGAAGATGGAGAATTGCAAGCATTATTGGACGAAAACTCAGCCCGAACGCAAAAAGAACTTGCAATGGAGTTAAATGTTGACCAAGCAAGCATTTCCAGACGTTTGCATGCAATGGGAAAGATCCGAAAGCTAGCAAAATGGGTACCACCACATCAATTGACTGAAAATCAGCTCCAAGCACGAGTCAAAGCATGCAAAAAACATCTTAAAGAACACAAAAAACGAAGTCGAATTGTTACTGGTGATGAGAAATGGGTGTATTACGAAAACCCCAAACGTAAAGGAGCATATGTTGATCCAGGCCAACCAGGACCTTCGCAGCCAAAACGGAATATTCATTGCCAGAAGGTCAAGTTGTGCATTTGGTGGGATCAGAAAGGTGTGGTGTATTATGAGCTGCTAAAACCTGGTGAAACGGTTACAGCTGAACGCTACCGAATGCATTTAATCAAAATGGAGCATGCATTGAAGAATAAAAGGTCATTGGTAGCGAGCAAACAAGATAAAGTTGTGTTTCACGATGACAATGCTCGGCCACGAGTTGCACACATCGTTAAACAAAAGATAGAAGACTTCGGTTGGGATCGGCTTGATCCTCTGACTACCACTTGTTCCGATCGATGCAAATGGGCTTGTCCGAGATATCGTTTGTAAATGCTGAAGAAGTGCGAAAATGGATCGATGACTGGATAGCTTCAAAAGATGAGGAATTCTTTTGACGCGGAATCGACAAGCTACCAAGGAGACGGGCGGAAGTCATTGCTAACGATGGGCAATACATTGGTTAATGTACTCATTCATTATGTTATTCAAATAAATATAGCTTTTCACCAAAAAACGATCAAAATTAATGCATACACCCAATAAATGAAAGAATAGAAATACATGTATTGGATTTTTGTTCTGAATGTGCCGAATCCAGGGGTGTTAAATTCAATTTTTGTCTGAGGGGTAATTATTGGTTCTGACGTAAAACGACAAAAAAAAATTATACAGAAAAATTGTCCAATTTTTTTCCAATTCGATTTTAAGGTTGAAGGAGAGTAGTATAGTTATGCCGGTTTCATCCTGCAGGAAGCGAGTAAAACACAAATTCCGATAGATTTCTCTGTTGATGGAGTCATATTTGATTGAGAAAAATTACCGAAATTCATTACTAAACATAAAATTATATTAAATATAACGCGTTTTAATGTCGTAAATGATGATAGGTCAAAATGAAGGATAAATGAATCGATGGGTATGTGAAATTGAATTGCACTTTCTATTTTACAATATGCATGAGCGTGTGCGCATTTGTGTCTTGCTCGCTTCCACACCTACTTCGTGTTTTAGAAGTAATTATTGCAAGATGAAACCGGCATAACTATAACTAAGGAGGGCGAATCAGCCCCCTTGACCACTTCATCCAGAGGTCCAATTTCAATCTAGTATCCGATGGTACTTAGAGTTGTTTGATTTTTTTCAAAATTCGGAACAAAACTGGGGTTTGGAGAAATTCTACCTTTTTGGGGATTGGGGGGCTCATGTGGTGTGAATATGGGTAGCTTATAGAGCCTTTCCTATGGCGGTAGTGTCTTGAGATCTTTACTTTTGAATTTACAAGTGGAAATTTGGAAAATTCACCTTATTTCATTTTGGACTCCTTATCGGAAGCTATGTTTTTGGATTTTTTCAATAATAATACACAGTTTAAATCAGTTTGAATTGTTCTTAGATGAATCTTTTCTTGATTTGTTGTTCGTTTATTAGTTTTAAATCATTTTGGTACAGTCAAAGGGGAAATTTTGTTTGCAGAGTTCTTCATATCTCATTTTAATGAATTTTTCATGCGAAATGTAGGCTTCTCGTCGTAGGAAGTGCGTTTGATTTCCATTACCATTTATTTTCCATTTTGCTTTGATTATGCAAACAACTTCTCACTGATTTATTTCTCTCGTTATTTACAGTGTTTATTATGTCTGAATAAATTTGGGCATAGGAAACGACATTTAAAATGTTTGTTTACTTCTGATCAATTTATTGATATCCGCTTTCTAATTGGCCAGTTAAATGTATTTAATTTATATATCAGTATCATTCAATATAATTTTCGTTTAGCCATTTTTCTTTAGGTGTTTCCCACCCAATATTCCTGTATGTTTACTTTTTGTTTCAATTAGAATGAAATGTATGCTAAGAATCATAGATTCAGGACTGTTTAAAAAGAAATACCCCTCCTTTTTTCGTTAGATTTTATAACAATTTTTAAAAATATTTTAAACAATTTTGATTTGTATTTTTTTTAACCAAATTTCGTTGAGATGTGCTATATTTTTGTTGTTAAATAGTGGAAAATACAAATCGGACGTTTTAATTGGATTATTATTGAAATTACAGTTTGTTATGTGCGTTCCTCAATTGCAGTGGATCAGAGAATCCCAATCGGACGAATTCATTTTGGCTGCCCGGCAATCAATATTTTATCGGCTACACGTTTCAAAAGATGAATGAAAGAAATCATAAAAGAATTGGATTCGTTGTGCGAAGAGGATTCGTAATTACCTTTCAGACCTCAGGCCAAGACGTTTTGTGAATTAGTTCAATCGTTTTGAAAAAGTGTTCGGCATTTGATAAGAATTATAAACTCAAAGCCCGATGAAATTGATTTTGGACGCAGTTGTTGAGATAATTTTTGTGAAAGTGTTTATCCTTTGTTCAATGGTACTTCGAATAAATTAAATTTATCTGCATCGCATCAAATAAAGTGGCTTGCACATTTAAGAATGACGTTGAAATAAATGTGAGATTATCGGGTAATTGGCGTAGCAATACCATTAACAGGATCGCTATCGATAAAAAGTGAAACTTATTATTAAATATATTGAATATCATGCATATTATCTCTTTACAATGGAATTCATATGATGCGATCGCGACAATTTCTTACGATTTACATCGTTTAAATATCCATAATTTTCTTATTCACCTTTATTGTTTATGTTCATTCATTTATTTACAAATGTTTCACTTTCGGTTTGTTGTTGTTATTGTTCATAATTTCACATGTATCATTTAATAATATTATTTTTTTTTAGATTTGAAATCAATTCACAATGAATATTCTGTAATTTTAAATAGAATGCGAACAAAGAAACTAGAATTATTTCTATTTCCCTTTTTTTCTATTGACTTGATTTCAATTTACTACTTTGTTTTTTTTTCACTATTATATATTTTAAATCAATTTAAAAAGTGTCTAACAAAAATTCGCAATTAAAAATTGACAAAAAAATATATATAAATTTAAAAAAAGGATTCCTTCGAAGGAATAAATTCGTCATATATGCGCACTCATTGTTTGACCGATTAAAAATCGGTATGCTATTATGTATGCATTATCTTTCGTATATTTTCTTTCTACATGATTCAACAGCTCTTTTTCATACTCAACGTTTAAAATTTTCAAATTTACGTATACAAAAATAAAAAAATAATTGGTATTCATTTGTTTTTTTCTTTTTTTTTCATTGCCAATAATGAAAGGATCTCGAAAAAAGGAGATAATGGGGAAAAGCATAATAAGAAATATATTTAAATTTGTGAATCAAAAGGGGTGGGAAATTGGCGCTGAGTTATTGAGTTAATATCTAAGCAAACATTTAAGTACAAAAATATAACAAAAAAGTTGTTTTTTCTGTTCTTTATTCTTTTGAGAGCCTTAACTTTCTTGCGCCAGTTATTTTGAATTTTGTAATAGAGAACAAATGAAAACAGTATGCCTCATATGCCTCATCAGATGAGCTTAGGCAATAAACTATTTCATTATTATGTTTGCTTATGGATTATTGTTCATCCGAATGGCAATATGACAGCTTCATCCATCTTCATTTTTGGCTCTTTTAATGTTTGTCACGTTGACGATGTCAATATTTTATAATCACCTCCGAACAAAACTTTGTTTTCATTTTTATTTCCATTCGTATTTGTATGGTTGGTTTTGATGGGAATTCGTATGTTTATCACCTCGCATCAATAGTTCGGCTGACTCTCTCTCCTTCTTCTTCCCGAGAAAATGTCTGACTTCATCATTTTTAGTTTACTTTCGAGATTTGTTTACTGACTATATTCTGATGAACATTTTGTTGAAATGTTTTTCAAAAAAAGAGCAACTACATACTGATTTCGTCATCATGACTTTAGTAGTTTTGGGTTTTTCCTCTTTCGTCTTTGTCGTCTTTTCTTCTTAATTTTTCCTTTAACTTTCAATGAAATCAACGGTATTGCTATTGGCTTGTTTCAATTCTAATTTTAATTTTTACGTCTATTGAAAATGGCTCGTTTCACTTAATTCTTTAGCATCGTTTTGCTCTCTATGTATATTTTAACTTATCCCGTAAGCAATTCACTTCACATAATTCTGTTTCTCAGAAAATACTTTTAGTATTTTTTCTGCTATTTTTGTTTTTTTCTTTTAATTTTCAGCATTGAATATTTGCTATTAATTAACTGTGCAGTTAAATAAAATGATATTGATGTTTTCATTCAAATTGTGGTTGATGATAGGTGGTTGTAATTGATGACATTTTCTGTTTTGCATTTGTATGTATATTTTGCATTTTTAATTATACATTTTTCTTTCTTTTTTTTATTTTGTTCGTTCTTCTTTTCATGTTTTAATTCTTATTTATTTAGATTTGATTACAATCAATGATCACATAGTTGCGTCTTGTTGTGGCTCCTGCTTAAATCGACTGTGGGCTTCCTGCAACTCTTGCAAGAATGGCTTATCCGATACATGGATTTTAATATGATTATTTAGAGTACTAGACTGTCTAAATTGTTTTTTGCACACCTGTTTATGAACAAGAGATATCATCAAATTAAAAATGGAACGAACAAATCACATTGTACCTAAATAGAAATTGATGAACTTACAGCGCATTCAAAAGGTTTTTCGCCCGTGTGGATCTTTGTATGATTGATTAGTGTGCTTAGTTGTCGGAATAGTTTTGCGCACTGTAACAATTGCAAAATGATTTTGATTAGACTTTGATTTCAGCAGTGCTCATAATTTACAGGAGCTATGATAGTTATGGATAGTTTTATACTCACATAATTGCAACTGAACGGTTTCTCTCCTGTATGGATTTTTGCATGGTTTGTCAACGTACTCGATTGCCTGAATCGTTTATCGCATATCTGAGTTTTTTTTTAAATAGAAAATAACAACATTTTAAAATATTCTGTTGGGGAGGAACAAAAATAGAGAAATTTCTTACATGACATTTGAATGGCTTTTCTCCGGTATGGATTTTATAATGGTTTGTGAGCGTACTAAGCTGACGGAATTGTTTTTCGCATACAGCACATTGGAAGGGCTTTTCAGCGCTGACAGTCATTGTGATTGCACGACTTAGGGCTCTAGACATATGCGACTCCAACTTCACGTTCATATAATTTTAATGCGGGCTCAATAACAAATAGTGACTATCGTCTAAAAATGATATTGATGGAAACCGATGGAAGAATCCAACGATTTATAAATATTTCGGCCTGCCAATTTAATGATTGAAAATGAAAATCATACGCAGCGGTTTCACCACACCGCTATATACGACTGTGTAAATGTGCAGAAATGGAAGGCTTTCGATTTTCTTGTTGAGCTTTTTTATGTATTTTTTTTTTTTAAATACTTCCACTAATTTAGGATTTTTCTTTTATATTATATAGTTCTTTCACTGTAATCGTGGTAATCTAGTCATGTAGCCAGCTGCCATTCTTCTATCTTATCTAAATTTTGATGAAATAAAACAAAAATTATACAAAATATATACAAAACATTATTTCGAAATGTCAACCAATCTTTTCAAAATTGATCAGGAAATTAGGTTATATCGTATTATTCAATGAAAGTAGTCATTTTCAATTGAAAATGGAATATGCCGATTTAGTGATATATTATCAACATTGGTTTCAAGCGCCAGACTTTCAAAGGTGCAGATATGCATCGTTCTGTATCTAATGTGTATATTTTTCAAAGTATATGTGGATGATCTTTGTAAGTCAGTAGAATAAATAAATACATGTACATTTTCGCGTTTCAATGACACAAAATGTGAAAATGGATTTTAAAAAAGCGAACACATGTGAAAATACACGAACTTAACAATGAATGAAAGAAGTATATGTTGACATACTCATATTTTGGGAGATTTTATGAAAAATATTTGCAATCTAATGTTCAGTTGTTTAATTCTTTTTACCACTATCTCAAAAATTACAGAATGCAAAAAGATGTTATTAACGCATAGGAATAGTTCAAGAAACGTTCTGATTGATTGTATATTTTAAATATTTAATCATTGATTTTTTTCACTGATATTCCAAACTAATATTTGACATTTTTTTTCTTTTTGTGGTTCTCACAAGATCCAACCTTCGGATCTATCAACATTTGAAACATATTCGCACCGCAAGTAGTTAAATCGATGGAATCGAACTAACAAATATATATATATAGAAATGTACATAATATATATTTGCACACAGTGTGTGTGCAGAATTGCAAGTTCGATGTCAATTCATTTTGACTTCACATTTTTTTTTTTGCTATTTGTCGCCTTTTATTGACACTAATGCCTCTAAGTTGAGCATTAACCGCAATCAAAGAAAAAACTTTCAACTAAGAAAACAATTAAAACAAAATTGCACCCACAAATGCGAAGAAATTCTTACGATTTCTTCTTTGATATTAAAATGAAACCGTCCAAGTTTCTTTTTCATAAACAAATATTCTGAATATGAAGAACATCCAAAAAAGCTAGGTTAAATAAACAGTTCTGTTAAAATAACATACATTCAACGCATAGACAATGTGCGTAGAACGAAGCAAAGAATGGTTATATGCCAAGACATGAGATTCACGCAAATTCGCTTCTTACGTACGAACTTCAAACACAGATGTCGAACAAATTGAAATAACGAAAAAAGAACCCATGATTTTACAAAAAAATATATATACACAATTGCACTTTTCGAGCACAATTTTTACACCAACTGGACCACATTTTTATTTGTATAATTCGATGAATAAAAAACACATCATTGCAGAAAACTAAAAAAAAATACTCGAAATTTAACTTGATTAAACTTACCTGTTTATTACAATCAGACGCGTTCCATTGGATTTCACTATTTAACATACCTTTTTTCACTTGCCTACTGTCTTCGTGCAGCCATCTTTCTTTCGTTTTTTTATTGCATGGGAAAATGTGTGAAACACTGAAACGTCAAAATTTTTGTTTCAAACCAATTATCGCAAAAGTGAAACGTTTTTATGCTCAAATAAAGACTTCGTAAGTTATATAATTTTATGATAATACTCAATTTGTCAGAAATTGATTGGTTTTTATGAAAAACGTGCCGAAGAGATCATTCATTGAACAATTGCTTTGAATTGTTATTTTGTGCGAAATCGTTTGCTGAATTAACGTTTGACCTAGAAGCATAAAATCACGCATACGGTGTGAATATAGCTTCGTATCGACCGGAGACAACTTCGTGGTTTTTCGGTAAATAAAATACACAGAGTGACACATAGCTTATATGTATTCGTTGAATTGTTGACATGATCATGAACACTGAAATATTTTTAGTGGGAAAAATGCGTTATAAATCAGTTGCATTGTTATCAAACTGGGTTCCACTTGACATTATATTTACAATAAAATTAACTATTTAATTAAATATTATCGTTGGTATTGGTGTTTTAACGCGAGAGAAAGTTTATTTTTGATTGCGGATGATCTCTGACATATTATGGCAAGAAATGTTAGCATCAGAATTCATCAGAAGTGGCTATGACTTCAAAGTAGTAAGTCGCTTCACAGCGATTTAATCATTTTGTGTGACATTCATTTTAGTCCATAACTGATTCTTGTAATTCAATTATTCTGTTTGTTCTCTTTCTCGCTAGATTTGTGTTCAATTTAAAGTCAAATGCATCGTGGATGCAACATTTTTGAACGATTTGGAAAAATGTTATCCGTAACTGTTTCACAGTAATAGAAAATAGTCAGGATCCCGATAAAGTCCAAATGTCACCTGATTTTGTAACAACGTGCCGATGATAGCTTTAAATTATGTACTAAACGTGATATATCAATTGATTGAGGATGAAAATCGGACCGAAAATGATCATCTCAAATACATTGAGAAAAAGTGGTTTGAGTCGTTATGGTTTTTCATCATTATTCAACGTGACATTAGTATAATTAAAGAAAAGCATCAGGAGCTTGATAAAGATAAAAAGACTAACAATCGATACCATCACCACACGGATTTCAATGGAGAAATTACGTCGTTAATCGATTAACTATGCTGAAAGTTGCAATGCATGCTCGGCGATGATAGGCACGGTTCTAATTTGAAACGAAAGAAAATATTTATTTAAAATTAGCCACTGAAGCTAACGACGCGATAAATGAGATAGTTGCGTTTATCGCAGAAGCCTCATTGAACCATCAAACCAACCACCAGAATTCCAGGGTGATTAGATTTCAAGAAAATGTGTTTCTTAAAGAACTGGCTACTAAATCATATGAATGGAATTCAAATGGGAGACGACGCTATGATCAAATAACAGTTACGACCACTTTGCATCATTTAACATTGAGAAATTGTAGCGGCCAGGTAAAAATCTAAATTACATAAACATTCTAATTTATTTGGTTTTATTTTCAATAATTTTAATTCCATGTAATTGATTGCAGGTCTTTGGTACATATTCAATTTATAATTGCACGACTCGCTGTCAGACTACCAGCACCTAAAATAGCATAATTAAATAGAAGACAACCAGTACGCAGAAGAACCAATGTAAACGTTGTTTTAGATCAATGATCAAGCAGTGTCGTAATGATCAAGAGAAGAAACATAATAATTTGCTTATATCAAAGCTTGTATTTTGTGGCTTTATTGAACCGTGTACACGTTTAGTATAGATTTTTCTGTGGGCGATGCTCATTGATTCAAATTATTATTTATCCTGATTCATTGTTAAAACTGATGATTCATATTTAACTTTCTTCTCTTTTTACCTTCCATGTTGACGTTGAAATTGACTTTGAAATCTTCGACCCTAAATATGTGCGTAATGTATTTGCGTTAACAATTGTTTATTGGGACAGCTTCGTGTCGTAGACACCAATCGAATGTCAACAACATAAACAATTAAATAAGCGCGAAACATGCACATGATGAAATTTAAAACTAAACTGAATTAAAATAAAACATTAAACGGATTTCAATATTTTAGGTTTATGAACTTGATTTTTATTCGATTTAAAATTTCTGCTGAACAATAAACGAAAATTCTAATGATACGATTAATAAATATTATTCAATATTTGTAATTTTATTCCATCACACTTTGTATAAATGACGGTTTTTATTCTAGACATTGGCATGTAAAGAATGAGATAGACCAACCATTATTTTAGGAATTCATGGACGACAGGTTTGTTAAATTCAGGGATGGCGGTCTTGTTGAAAATTGACGCAGATGAATTCGTACCAAAGGTTGAAGGTCTCATTCGAACCACTTTTGGTCTAATTGGATGTCGTTCAAATTGCTGATAGGCTTTGAGGTTTTGCAAAAATGATCTCGGATTTATTTCCACTGTCTTAATATTATTGCTGATGCTAACACGTTTTGTAGCTCCACGATTAATGATAACGCTATACAAGCGCAATGTAAAAAAATATAGCAATTCTACCAAGCTAATCACCTAAAGAATATATAATAAAATGCATATGAGTAGAGTAATGGAAAAACTATAACAATTTAGTACGACAATCATAGTGTAACCAGCATAGCTCAAAGTAAATACAAGTGCTAGAGAATTGATTTTTTGTATTAAATTGTTATGTAGTATAAAAAAAAATTCTATAGAAAATATATTTTGTTTGATATTAACTGATCCTCCCAGGCATAGTCCAAAAATTCCACCAAATGAAGCTTTCAAAAGATAACAAAAAATTTATACACTTTTCAAAACAAGATTTTATTATAATTTATATTTACCGAATAGACCATCCCATGTCATATACATATCACGACGATACTTGAAAAGAGCCAAAAAAAATGTAATTTTGTATCAAAGTCAGATCTCAATTAATAAATACCTTGATGCAAGTGAGATCCTTAAAGTGAACCTTGAGAGTTGTAGAATCATCCAGATCGTCACTGGTGTCACTAAAACAAATGTCGAAAACGATTGATTTTGAGGAGAATTTAAAAAAGCAATATTTAGAAGGAGTATATATAGTGTATTAAGTTTTAAAATAAAATGTACCCCGAAGTATTTGTATTCAATTTATCATCTGGATAGCGTCGAGATAAAATTGACTGCACCTCATAGCGCTAAAAAATGAAAATAATTGTATTAAAAACAATTTGAAGCGTTTTTGTTAAAGTTTACCAATTCTGAGCATGTTGGTGGGCAAACACATTCCATTCCTATACTACTCTCGTTGAGTGCAGCTATATCGTCTGGTGGCTTCAAACTTGAAAACACATCTAAATTAAAACCGAAAAATTTATTCAAGTTACAAAAAGTTCACTCGCCAAATATTATTTTTTTAATATTCTAACTAACGTCGATTATCTCGTAAGCATTTAACGTCATGCAGTGAACATTGACGATACTTTTTTGAAAAGGCTGTCATTTCTAAAACGAGAAAAAAATTATTTAAAATATTTACATTACATGTAAAGAAGGTTACATTCATTCTTTCGATTATTTTTCAACTCTGTTCCATTATCATAATTCACATTTTACTATATTCATACATGATGATGATGATGATGGAAACAGAATGTATGTGAGATAAAGAGAGAGTGTGTGTGTCTGAATGGAAGCCATTAGAAACAAAAGAAGAAAGAATTAAGATTTGGTAGTAGAGTATCGATAGTTTTGCATGTCAGCCATGGTCATCTCCAATGTGAGTAAGTATTCTTTACTTGACCAGATTCATTCATTGTAGACTGTCATATAATATTACTATTCAATAGTAGTCTATAGAATCGTGATCTTGTCGAGATATTGTCTACCAAATCTCAAGTTCAAGCAATGTTGTTGCAAATGTGTATTCATTGCTTTTGATTCATACTCACTTGATTCCGGGTAGTAGAATGGTAGACAGTCACATTTATTTAAGATTGTATCAACTGTGCATTCTGTCATACATGACTGGAAACTGTATTTATCGGTTGTTCGTAGTTTTTTCTATAAAAAAAATGTTTACATTTTTTAAAAAACTAAACAAAAACAGAAGTGTCAAAATGAAATCGATCAATTTACTTCATCGACAAATAAACAATTCCGTTGTTTTTGTGACAATGATCTAATTCCAGGCTCACCAACGATAACCGATGGAAGAACAGCTATCGTCAAATCATATCCCGGCTGTCCAATTGTTGTTGTTGTAACAGATGTTTGAGGGAAATTTTCAGCGTCATGAATGAGGATCTTCGCGCCATAAAATGATTTACTGTATGCAACATATGACTCTTTTTCAATTTCGATACGTATATTTAGGCCGACATTTTCGCCAGCTCCAGACACTCGATAAGTTGGGTTGTTCAATTGCTCAACCGTGTTTTTAGACGAATCGCTGCAAATGAATAAAATGGCCTTTAATGTAATTTATCTATCACGACGTTTCGATTCAAACAAATAAAAATCATACACTTCCAAGTCGCCTTTGAGTGCTTTATAATTAAATGAACAACAAAATCCCTCAGAACTGCGTGCTACTCGAAATAATGTTTCACATGGTACTATTTTTCCCAACCATGCACAATTTTTAATCATATTATTGCATGGCTGCATCAATTCTAGCATGAGTCTATCAGTTGTATAGTCCATCTCTTCAAGAATTTGATATGTCTTCAAGTATAACGCATCAATATATTCAGGTGTTATGAGTTTTGCCAAATTCTCCAAGAATTCAATGATCGATTCCTTTTTCAAGCCTTTTTCAATTCTTAAAAATGTACTTTCGTTAATTTAAGGAAAATTTTCATGAAAAATCTATAAAATTCATACAGTTTTTCAGTGATATTTTTTGTTGCTGGTTGATACACTTTATTGATGTTACAAATAGTTATTGCTGAAGAAAAAAAAACACAGTCACAGTTGATATGAAAATATTGACTTGATATGCTATTCAATATACTATACTCACCTGGAAATGGAACATTCCAAATGGGATAGTTGTTCGTTTCAACGGTTGTAATTGTTGGAGTGGTTTGAAAACGATCCCAAACCAAGCCCATTAAAACAATAGCAAAAACAGCGCCCATTACACAAGCACTTGACCAAATAATTAAACTGAGCAATTTGTTTAATCTCTTTTGGCTGTGCAATTATTAAAACATAAATCATTAATATAATTATTGTGTTTCAAGTGTTTGATTATTTTTACCGGCTATAGCTTGATCCCAACTCCTGAATGTCCACTACAATATGTTTAATGCCATGCAACGTTGAATCACGGCAAAAGTCCATTGTTGTTTGGGCCAGTGCTTGCACACAGTAGTTTTCGCGAACATCTTGTAAACTCGTTGGAATTCGTAAGGTGATATTTGATGACTTTTTTCTTGACTTTTTTTTTGAAGGTACCGACATTTTTCAATACTAAATTTTTGTTTTTGAATAATCATTATTTAGATTCAAAATTCGTTCCTTTTGCAAAATAACATTTGTATTAATATTGTGCAACAATTTTTGTGTATATTTTCATTAACCGTTAGATGGCGTAATATACGTATATAAACGATTTGAATATTTCCAACAAGTATATATTTCGTTCTGTGAAAAGCCTTAAAATTAATTGAAACAATAGATAAACAATGTCGTAATTGATAAGCAAATTAATTATAAACTGAAAAAATAATAATACCGCAACAAATAATAAAATCAAAAGCAGTTATTTTCTTTAAATCGAATCATGATCGGGTAGTGCATAGTAATGCACAAATACTATTTGACAGTTTTGAGCATTGCTAGTGTTACCCGTGCAGCAATAAATTCTTCGACATATTAATATATACATACATATATGTATTCTGACCTTAGTGACAAACCAAACGCAGTTTTTAGTTTGCTTTGAGACGTGCAATCAAAAACTATTCAAAAACCTGAAGCAAGTCGTCAACGAAAAGCAAAAAAATATATATAATAACTCTTCATTTGATACCATAACAATATCTAAATGTAGAATCACAAACAATTTGTAAGCATCAACTTGAAAACAAGTCGTTTTTTTGTTTCAATTTTTGTATTGCAATGATATTTTTTTTGCTTGTATCGAGTCGAAAAAAAAGTGGGAAAGGAATTTGTGTAGTGAAAAAGTCATAGTTAGAGGTAATAATATCATAAATGATGAGAGAGATTTATCAGTAGTCGATAATTTTGCTCGCAATGAGACTTTTTTTTAAAACGATAAAAAATGAATACATCTCAAGAACAATAGTTTGAAACTCTTTTATTTTCAAAGTATTCGAATGCTTTTTGTATATGCACAGTTTACAATTAAACCGTATTCGTTTGTGAGCCCAAACCGAGCGTAAAAGCTTTGATTTTTGGAGTGCGACGAAGATAGGCAATCAACAACAGAACCAAATAAAGCACGAATACGAGAGAAGAAAATTAAAGACATATCATTCATTAAAAAAGTATATACACAGTACACAATACGTAATTCAAATGAAGAAGAGCACCGAATGAACTGCGAAAATTAGGTGAGTAAATGATTGGATCATTTTGTGGTGCTCTTGTTTCGTTGGTATTTTTCAGCTTAAATTCGTTCGGTCAATATATTCATCCAAAGTCGATTATTATCTCGATAGTTGATTGTGTGTTTGTTTTGTTTATGGTGATGATGATGATGATGATGATGATGATGAAGAGAGCGCGAAATATAAAAAACTTACTATATTATACTATATGTCAACATACAAGTACATATAGATAAAATATGACAAGTAACAACAGTGAAAACACGGTTCACAAACATGGCAATAAACGATAGCTTCTTTATAAAGATACGCGCGTTGACATAATGTTTTCGTTTGGATATAAGTGACAAATAAGTTCCGCGCTTACTTACAATGCTGCATTTTATTGTATAGACAAGCAATGACAAAACATACTGAAATTTGACAATTTTAGAACTTGACCAAATTATTCTGGCCTAAGAAGTTGTATGCGACAATAAAATCTCAAACGATACCCAATGGACAATAGCAAAGTGTTTTAAAATGAAAGAGAGTGAGAAAATTTTTACGAGTGCTTTATGATTCATCTACCATATTGGAAATGAATGTCTATGTATCGAAAATTGGCGCATAACTAAATGTGTAATTGTGTTTGAGAGAATAAAAACGAATACAAATATTTAGCGCTTGTAAATCTCAAACAAACAAAGCGGGAGGAAAATGGCTATATGATGCATTCGATTTCGTTATGTTCGTTTTTTTTCTCTCGCAATTCTGTGTTCGTTCTTGCACGAGCCCGTGATTCGGCTCCTGTGTGGTTCTCTCTATCTCTCTTTTTCTTCTCTCTCTATCTACTGCAAATGCTAATGTATGTACGTTTGCACTTGAAATCAGAAGGCGACTCAAAGACAATGTGCAAACCAATTTTTTCATATTGTTCATATTCATCGATTCGTTCACTATCACTATGCTTTTAGAAATAGACGTCATACGAAATTTGATTTGATGATGTGTTTTACGTGTGTTTTTTTTACTTTCATTTCTTAAAATACTCGGTTGCGGCAAATTCACCGTTGCGTCAACTTTCTTGTCCTTTTGTATAGTCGGCGCTAGTTTCAAAAAAATCAACGTATTACAATACCCCAACGCTACATTATCTCGATATGCAATACAAATAAAGCAGTTCGCACATGTAAAACTGCAATTAACCATTTAAAACGTTTTTGCGCCAAATTTTCTCTTATCGGTGTGGTACATTTTTGTCATTCTCGCACTTATACACATCGGAATTCACCACTTCATTGTGCTACCGACAATGTCGTTATAATACCACATCTTCAAAATAACCAATTGTGAGATGAGAGTTTTGCATTAGACCATCATATCGTCAGATCCATTTGGAGTGTTGACCAAAGTTGTTGCACAAAGCAAATATTTTAACTAACTTATTTTTTTTCTGAAAATTGTACAAAACTTCAACCAATATATTTACTGTAAGTAATTGGAAATTATATTCTTCTCTAGATTCTCGACTTTATATTATTATTTTATTTTATCGCATTGTTGTCATGACGATTTGTGCAAGAACGGTATAATTTCAATCGTTTTTATTGGATTTTTCTGTTGTCACCATTTCTTCAATTTGCAGTGTGAAGAAAATTATGCTTATTTTAGCATTGAGCACAAAAATTGTGCACAAATAAAAAGATATTTTACCATACAACAAGACAGAAAAAAACGTGCCTCGGTTTGAATCAGTTTTTATGGTATCGTACATATAATGAACAATAAAAAAAACTGATTGCAAGTTGCAACTTGTGATTTGCAACCAAAACTAAATCATTTAAATCCCTGTTAAGTTCAATTTAATTAATTGAAGGCTGTTGGAGGTATCACGTTGTTAATGCCACAGTTAATTTAAAAGGTATTTTTCCATGGCTATTCGTTTTTTAAAAGAAAACCAAATACTTGAAATTTAATCGATGATACGTACAAAATACTCGTTGAATAATGCAACGATTTCCATATTATATTGTGCAATTGAAAAAGATTTGGTATTTTCTCGAAAACGTTGTCCTCCATCTTTTCACTTTCGTTTTGTCCGTATTACCGTTAGGTGATGAATTTCGATAGTATCCGTTGCATAAAAGAAAAATGGGAATACCGCAAACATGCATTGAACGCTTTGCAATTTAGATTTTTTTTATGTGATTCTTAAATTTGTAGAGCGTACACCGGACAGAAAATGGCAAAAATGACCAGATATTGCATTCGATTTGTATTAATAATAAATATTTTGGCCAAACATTTGACTGAATTATATTTTTTTAGTGAGCATAACCTCAATTGTACTTTTAACCTTTTATTGCGATTCAACTAAATGAATAACGGTTCTTTTTGCGCCATTTTGAATGTTCTCCATTTGTTTAAATTTTAGGTACATTAGATACGTACTTTTAGATACGTTACCATCATTCGCAAACCGAAAAATTGACTTTCTGGATTTAATTCAGAATAAAAAATATTGCAATCGATAGAAAAAGCAAAAAAAAAAAAACCAACAAAATTAAAACATCTATAAAAGACTGGAAGAAAGTACATTCAATTAGACCAAGCATCGGACATCCCTGGTGTGACAATCTAGCGATTTACTGATCAAATCAGTTACCATGACATTCCCATCGGGTGGCTCTGTATTTGACGAACAATTACAATGGGTGAAAGACCATTTCGAAAAGTGGTCGCATTGCGAACGCGCCATTGCCGTTTGTTCAATGCTCAAACAATTCCAGCATCCAACATTGCGTTTCATACATTCAAAAATCGAAGCAACATATGCCCAAAGCTCAGATTGCGAAAAAATTAAATGGATGGAACAAAATTCAAATGACAAATCGTATATTAACGAGCTCTGTGATTCATACAAATCGTTGACAAACACAACAAGTGATGTGCAATTAAACAATAACAACAAAGATTCAATTTATTTTGAATCGGATAGACTAATCATCGGTGACATCAATTCAACCAATTCAATAAGTAGTAGTACCATGAATAATAATAATAACAACAACTATAGTAATAATAACGCGAACAGCACTAGCATAAAGGTAAATTTAGCTGAACAATTCAGTACAAAAGAAGAGATCTTAAAAGAGATCCTTAACTGTATTCTCATGCTGAAAATTGGCAACGACGATGTGATCCAAGAGTATTTGGCGCTAATACCATTCATGGTAGACGACACTCATCGTCGAATTATCAATGTTGAAGTCGTGATGCAGACACTATCGATATTGGTCGCTCATCCAGCACTCTCGTCGGAGAACTTGCGGTAAGTCAGAATAGTGTAATTGACTTTATACTTTGCAAAATTTCTAATATGGTTACATGATTACACAAAAACTGATAAACAATTTTGTGCATAAACTTTCGTCATAACATTAAATTAATACCCCAAATGTAGTTGAAAAGTATTTCATAAAAGATATAAATCAGAAAATCGGCTAATTCACAAATATTGGTAAATGCCCATATTGCCTTAACTTAATTATTTTCACCTGGATTAAACTCGACGTATTTTCTATTAATTAACACAATTTAAGATTTTAAACATCAATAATATCAATAATATACACTGCACCAAAAATATTTTAAGTTAAATTGAATTCCGTTCAATGCAATAAATTTTACTTATCGTTTTAAACACGACGGTAATTTTTCTTTTCTTTACAAGTCTATCAATGCAAAGATTCGACTGATTTGCTTCAACTTAAAATACATACTAAGGCCACATGCACTCGAAACATTTGGCTCGTCAACAATCATAATTTATTACAGAAATTTCATTTAGAACATCCACGTTAACCCACATAACGTATTTGATTGAACATGTTTTTTTTATTTCGTCCATCAAGATAACATATTTTCCGAACAGGAATGAAAATTCATTTGTTTTGTTTTTCTTTGTATTTCGATTTCATTTTTATCACGCAAAAGGCTTCCATTCAAATTTCAAAGTGACACCTATCAACTTCGAAAATGTATGCTATTATCACAGCAAATGTTATCTATGTATTTATCATCGGTCACTTCTTCGAGTTTCAATTGTAATTTTAATCAATTTCATTCAATTAACTACCTACACTACCCTTTCTGTGTGTATACAACTAAGTTGGGGATATTTTTCGTTTTTGGTAGTTAATAAAAGAAAATAGTGGCTATTAAGCGTTAATTTAATGAGACAACTGCGAGGATATGCGGATCGCATGTTACTCACATGCACGCACACATGCCACAAAGTATGAAATTTAGGTGACCGCAATCTTCTCAACTCAATTAGTTCCATCAGTAACCATTTAACGTCCAACTGAAACATATTTCATAGAAATTAATTGGGTCATAGTTTAAATAAAACCGATTGTATTGAATGTAATGACTTTTTATTTTTATTTATTTGTGTATTTTTTCTACATGAAAATAGTACGGTAAAAGAGCACATTGAGCGGCTGAAGTGCATTATTCAGGTGCAAAATGGTCACTTTCAAAATACAGATTGGCAAGCAATTGCTCCTCCATTGCATGCATGCCACTATAAGACACCAACAACCAATATTTTCTCATCATTATCATCGGTCGGCTCATCACAAATTCAGAACGAGAATCTATACGACACTCAAAGTGACTATATAGAAACTGATACTGGCAGTGCGGGCCGAAGTAGTGGTGGTGGCAGTGATTTTTGCCTATCAAACATTAGTATCCCATGTAAACAGTGTCACAGTGTAAATACCAACGTGGACGACGCATATAGTTTTCTAAATGCATCGGATGATCAAAATATTTCCTTTTCGAAAAATGGAACCGAAATCCACGATTTCAATCCGGACCAAGAACATACAAATGCTCAATTTATAAAAAAGTAAGTGATTTTATTTTCATTTGATGATTTGGTATATTTTTTTATCCCGTATTTTTATTTACAGTTTCACGCTAAATCCACTGATTGATAACATGGTATTAAAAACTCGTCGTTCCAACAGTCTAACAACAGGTGGTTTCAAGCAAAATAACCAATTTCTGGGTGCCACATTCACATCGTCAACGGAAAATCTATCGCATTTACATAAACCACGAAGCTATTCATTGTCCATTGAAAATCCAAGATTATTGATGACAGCAAGTGGTTCTGAAACACGATTGGATGACTTAAAACCGTCATTTCATACGTTCCAAACACAAAATCCAGGCATGAAATATGTTTATCCATGGTTGAAACGATTACGATTGCACAAATACACTCATATTTTTGAAAAATTCACCTTCGAACAAATGATGGATGTCACTGACAGCTATTTAGAACAATTAACTGTAACACAAGGAGCCCGAACCAAACTCGTTAACTCCATCCAGAAGCTCAAAGAGCGATACTCTCGATTAATACAATGTGAGCAAGACTTGAAAAATGGTAAAGTAAGCACAGAAATAGCGATCCAATTGCTACTCGAACTTGTCGAAACTCCAATGAAACCGGTTGACATATATGATTCAACTGATGTTGCAGCTCAATTCCTCAAATTGTTGAATACTGGTATGTTGGCAAATTCTTAGACAATTTTTTTTGGTTCCTTTATTTGTAATTTTTTTTTTATTCTCTCGTTATAGTTTGTAATATTATGAACGGTAAACAAAATGGACCACAAGACGAGGAATCAATAAATCAATTGATTCAAATTTTCGATATTGTTCAGTTGAGAAACGTGGAACCATTCCTATCAAATGCGAACCAGCTCAAAGATTTGCGATACGATATTGATTTGATTAAAATGAAATTCCCGCCAAAGAACCACTATCACAAAAATGGCAATGGATCCACAAATAGTAATGCAAATAAATCGAGGTCAGTATTAATTTGTTTGTATATACTTTAACAATAACCCGTGAAAAATATATTTTTCTGTGCATATTTTATTTTTTGTGTGTAGATGGCCCTCGTCTTCAAAATCGCATAGCAAAAATGGGAATGAAAACAAACCACATCGAAAGAACTCAAATCCAATGACGAACTTTAATTTGGTTTCAATACAACAGGTAAGCAGATAAAATTAATTTTTTTTAAATAATAATCACCGACTTAATCATGGAATTACCTTTCCTTAGGCTCAGAAGCAACAAAAGTCACAACATCTTGGTTCCAAATCGAAGCAAACGCAACAACGTCCATCTCGACAATCCGAATTTACCAACAACTACCATCCGACGCCAACAAGCAGTTATAGTAAATCATCATCATATCCAAACTTCAGCAGCAATGGAAGTAGTAGCGCCAGTTCTACTGGTAGTAGTCAACAGTATGCTAACATTGGTAATCAAAACACCAACACTCCACAGGTAAATATCAGTCGATTAATTAAATTTCTCCATGTCTTCCAATTTTGATTACTAATGCTGAAAATGTACTATTTTTTACGACTTTTTCATAATAGTTACATCATTCATATCATCGACATTCGGTCAGCAATCTGATAACTATTACACCTGCAAAAACAACGGTAACTGTAACACCTACAACTTCAATTAGTCAACATCAAAAAACATCAAGCTGCATGGGCTTGCATCTATCATCACAATCAACACCGCATTCGAATTTAAGTACCAACAGTTTAAGCAATAGTGCAGCGACTTCACTCATATCGTCTTCCATCCAAACGGCAATGAATTATTGTAAGTATAACTTCTATCATGCAATCACATCAAATATATCGATTGTTTTTTTTTGTTTGTTAATTTTCAATAAATTTTTTTCTCTTATTATTGAAATTAAGGTTCAAGACAATGCTTAACCGAACTTACACCCGTAACAACAATAGGTCGTTCAAGTTCGACGGGTGGTGGTAGCTATTTAAAACAAACTTCTAACAAAAACATACTCAGTGATATTAGTCCATATAGAGATTTGGAATTTCTAAGCTTGCAAATGACTGAACAAGCGATCAATTGAATCAGCATAATTAATAATAATGTATGTATAAATTAGTCCGAGAAATATTAGCTACTGCTATTTGCTAGTATATGCTGCATGCTATAAGTTAAATATTCAAAGCAACTGACAAGGGTGACAATTCGGATATTTTTCATTCACAAAACCGAATCACACGATCGATATTTTTATTATTGTGCCAAGCAGAATTACAATTTGACCGCAGTTTGAACTAACTCCATGTGAGAGAAAAATTTCTGTCCTAAATCAAATGCTAAGCACTATTTATGGAAATGGACTTTAAAAAAAACAAACATATTTTAAACAAATAAGAAAAAAAAAAAAACAGACCACTTAACGGATGCACTCAAATTTGGAAGTCTTGACTAAGTGATTAAAAAGAACAAAATTCATCGATTAGTTCAATATGAACCTTAATGCAACAAAATTGTATATATTTCAGCTATTTTTTATATTAAAATTATTATGTGGTTTTGTTAATTCATTTATAAGTTATATTAAAGTTATGGACATACTCTCATTTCCCTCGTGCAAAAAACGAGGTTGTTTGAGAGTTCGTTTCCAAATATTCAGTTTGAACTCGTATTTTTTATTTGTTTGATTACTCAAGTGACATTATTGTTGTATTTAAAATTCCTAATAGTATTGTGTTCATTGTATGAAATGCCAAAAATGAAAATTAGCTAACAAAATATGAAAATGTAAAACATTTAAATAAATAAAACGGAAAAAAATTGTATAAAACGAAGGAAGTTGCGTATTGTGCAACTAGTTATATGAATACTGAATGTACTAGATATATTTTTGCAAAAATGTTCTGTTTTTCGCTGTAAAAAATGAGCAAACAAACTATGTAAAAATTTATCCTAAAGCCAAAGTGATCGCATAATAAGAAGAAATCAAAAGATTAACACCGATTCATTTAAGTTTGTTTTTCCCTTGTAATTGAACATTGAAAATAGCTTTATTGCATTTTTTGTACTTGTAGAAATAGAAAAATGTAATGATTTTTTAGTTTGCATCTTTTTATGTTATTATCGATATTTAATTATTAAAAGGATTTTTTTAAGTTCTCATTAAAAAACCAAAATAAATCCATAAAACAAATAAAAAAACTTCAAATGAAAATTATTGTGGAGTACACATATGATTTAAAAATGAAAACGAAAATAAAAGAAGACAAGAAAAAATGTTACAAAGTGAAAGAATATATGAAATACGAAAAAACGTTGATAAATATTGGACTTTTAATGAATGACCATTGTGACAATTTATTTTTGATGTTTTCATGAATCCTGAGTTTTCGAGAGAAAAAAAAAAACATTTGTTGGGAATAAAGTTTTTTTTTCGGAAATCTTCCCGCGTCCGTTTTTGACTGATCGTTCCAATTAATTTTTTTCGCCCTTATCACCTTTTCCGATTTCTTATTTCTTACTGTTTGGAAATTGTTTGCGTTTATTATTTCTAAAATGTAAACAACATCTATCAGAATGTTAGTGAAATTTGAGAACAAGACTGAAATTTTCAAAGTGTTTCATTTAAATATTCATCTAAATTGATAGAATATTTCTTTTAAAATGAAACATGTCCTTTACCAGCTATTCAGTGCTCATAAAGTTGTGATAAACTTTTTTTTAAATTTTATTTTATTAAAATCTTTATTGTTAACCATAAAATACATACTGGGTCAAACAACTGACCATTTTTTAAACCCTATTTATTCAATAATTATCACGCTAATAAATTATTTAGTTTGTATATTTTTTACATTTTTTATTTCAATTTTTCAATTTTTAATCATTTATTTTCTCAAGAAAAACTAAAAAAATCTATACTTCATTTCTGGCCATGTGGCATGTTCAGATCTCCTTTGTAAATGGTGAGCTATGTTGTGTTAGTAAGTCAAGTAAGGGTTTGTTGTAGTTTTTTGTCATTAAATTAAGTAAAGAAGAAGCCTCAATTCTTTTTAAATAAGTAAATCTCCTTCAAATAATATTATACACTGTTCTTGTGATAAGAGGTTTCAAATTGCACTCCCTCGTTTTAATTTCATCACAATTGTAAACCTAAACATGATGTCGTTGAGAAGTGGGTCCCTTCAAGTTCCAATAATTATGGATTGAAAGCATAATATGAAAAATAGCGCTTATTTTATTTCAAATAATACTGTGATATGACATTTTTCATCGCAACGGGTCAATATGAGGTTAACTTAAAACATTGGAATTCCAATCTAATGATTCATTCGGCAAAAAAAAAATGAAAAAAAAATTCGATTGCAAAGAGGTCTGGCATTTATTTTATTTTTTTGAATTTCAAAAAGCATTTGAATAGTATTTGTCGTAGGTGGCTATAGTCATTATAGAAAATGATCGAACTGTTATATTCCGAGTTTCACTCAGCGCTGCTACCATCCAGAGCATAAAAATATATCTTGCTGAATTGTGTGACAACAAAAAATTGTTTCTCCAACGTGGACTGCAAATATATTCTATTTTGGTAGTTTAGATGTCTACATTTGCAGCACCACATTGGAGAAACAATTTTTCTATTTAATTTTAAGAAACAACAGAATATTTTTAAAATGACAAAGTGAGAAATCTGAACTTCAGCATCGAATGAAACTGGCATTGAAACTTTAAATATACTTGTTTTATCATTCACCAGTGTTTTGAATCGTTTTTTTTTTTCATTTCATATTCGACACCACCAAAGAAATACATTTTCGAAAGAACGATAGCAGAGTGCTTCAAAAATGTAATACCATGATACCATTCAGCGAAGATCATTTCGAATGACCAAGTAAAATTGGCAAAGAATTCAAAACATGAAATCAATTCACGAAATTCTAGTACATCTACTTTGAGATGGTGGCCAAAATGAAAACTAATTATTCAAAATATTTTGAAAATCCATCACAAACCCATAATAATTATCAGATGAATTGGATTTTGTGGCTTTTTGAATGACGTCTCTCCCAACTAGAACTCCAAACTTTTTATTGATTTTAGGCGAAATCCAAAGAATGATTGTATGTGAGTAAATGTTACCTAAGCAGTTTACTGTGAAAAATATTAAGCGATTGTGAAATTTCTTATGAAAGTTTTTTCATTAGACTTATAATCAAATTCGATTGGCTATACCGAAAGGAGCATAAAATTCTTATTCTAAATTATTTCAAATTATAAAATTACATAGAAACTACTCTTGAGATTGATAAAAAAAATTCAAAACTAGCTTTCCTAGTATTCTTTCGAATAAAGTAAGTGTATTATTCTAATGTTTATTTTTTTTTCTAAGTTTGTTGTTGAACAATTGATTGTGCAACGTGGATTCAATCAATTTGTCCTTTGTGATTAATGTATGCATTGTAGAGACCAGAGTCTTTGTTTCGGTAGCGCAATTTTGTGCATGTCATCCACAGTGATACAATTAAAATGGCGAATAAAATAAATGTGGCGAACATAAATGACGTAAGTACAGTCGTTTTCATACACGTTTCACTGGGCTCCTTCACACCTATTTATGAATAAAAATGAAGAAAATTGTTTCTTTTGGTTTCGATTTCAGTTATGATTCATGAGCAAATCAAATCAACACACAAAAGTGGAAAAACAGTGACATTTTCATTGTGCTCTCTCTCTACCACCACAATTTGCACATTAATGTGTTAAATATATAAATTAAAAATAATATTTACTTTGAACGGCTGAACTAAATTCATCACCTTCACCCTCTTGAAGTACTCGCAAGGATTGGAATAGGCTAATATTATCGGAAACGGTCTTTTCCTTTTTACCTAAGTGAAGAATCAGATGAGAATAAAAATAATGATGAACAATTTTGATGGAAAATAAATAAAATATGCAATAGATAAGTATTACTAAATTCGCCCCATATTTTACCTCTTTCAGCTACATCATTTGCATTTGTTTTATTTATATTTGAAACATCACGCTTGGTAACTGATTTGATGTTACGCCAATGACACGGTTGACTCTGTGCGAAAGAGAAGTGTAAAATAATAAATTATTTAATATAATTTTAAATAAATTATTTCTGATAAATCGATTATTAGAAAATACATTCATTGGAGTGAACATAGCGAACACTTACCGGACATCTGCCATGGCACATTCGAACATCACATTCAATGTACAGCGCTGGTGAACCAGTGAATCGAAATGTTTTCATATATGCGTACACCTGAGTTTCATAAACTCCAGTATCGGACCACGAGCCACGGAAGCGTGAAATCAATTTGTCATCAACGGGACAACTACAATTGTTCAAATGTATCACAAGGGAATTAGTTGAAAATAATAATAACAATAATAATGAAAGAAAAGAAGATTTTTTTTCTTCAAATTTTAATTACGTTTTTCATGGATCTTTTCTTTTATATTAAAGACACTCACCCATATTCGTCAATCAATTGGATACGTTTGGTGGCACCATTATGTGCATAACAATCGTTTACGACAATATCGAAACCATCGTATTTGCTTCGCATGTAAATCATCAAAGTCAATGGATCGCCAACGCGAACGGGTCCAGTTACGCGTGTTCCACCAATGCCATAACCATTACGAATTTCCATATAACATTCCGGGGGACTCAATGTAAAAACGACCGGGTTTCCTGTTGCCACTCTTCACATAAGAAAGGTCAATTTTATTATGCAATTTACAATGATATATCGTCCGAAGGTTTTTTTCGAAAACAAAAGCACTTACTCAACATCCAAAAATGGAAAGGTAACTGTTTTCCAGAAATCGTAGCCATATTCACAAGTCACCTTGAAATGTTCATCAAACTCCTCTTCAATTAATGGATTATATTGAACCGTAATTGTATTCCACATAAAATTCTGAATTAAATTTACAAAACAGGAACAAATTTCAAATTTAGTCGAATGATAAAATGCAATACCGTTTCTTATTCTAATTAAATCAAATAAAATGATCACCGTTGGATTTTCGCGTGATTTTTCACTAATTGCATTTTTTCCCAAAGTTCCACAACGATTTAATTGAATATAAAATTCATAGTATTCCCGACCTGAACCATTAATATACATACAATCTGGATCATATGCATAGCCTATTTTTCAAATAAAAAAAAAAAAAATATTACAAAATTGACGACACAAAAACTAGTCTTAAATACTTACCAGCTGAGTATAAAAGTCCGGTAAATGATCCGTTGAAACCGATGCGAATCTTCATATAATCATCCTGGCACTCGGCTTCAATATCTACATCAATGATAAAACAATCATCACTTTGCTTATCTTTTTTATATTTTATATAAAGTTATGTGAATTTATGGATATGTTGATATAGATATGTTGATATATCGTAGGTGCACTTACGTTGAACACGAGTATTGTTAAATCGATTCCGATGGTTGTAGTCACGATCCCATGATTCATGACGCCATCCATCAATATCACCATCAATATGATAGCCCGCGTTTATTCCCGTTGGTCGATTACGCAAAGATGTAACTGGAATGTATCCAGCCGTCTCCGATAGATAAACCACCTGTGGAATGATTAATTATTGCAGAATTTTATGACTATTTTTGTCACTATCAGTCCCATCAACGTTTTTTTGTAATAATTAGTTTTACTATGTTAAAACAAAAAAAAAAAACAGTTCAAATAACACCATATGCTCATACTCGAGCACAGAAATACGCGTAAACTTTTGCACAATTAGTAAATCTAAAACGCAGTAGAGCGAGAATTCAGTACAAATGCAAATGAAATGAAATACAAAAGAAAGAGAGTAGAAATTGGCCATCAAGAGCAAAACCCAAATATTGCAACATATTTGGCCTACTGTAGTTTACATTTGGTGTGCGTAACTGTTTCGTTTTCTTGGTTTTTTCTTATGTGCGATTGAAAGCATTGCGTGAATTGTGAATGTAAATTTTCGTAGTCGTTGACGTAGATTGTATTGTTTTTCTTTTTGTACGATTCACTTTTAAATATTATCACTCAATTTCCACCATACTAAACACATACAAAACAAAAAAATAAGCATTTAAAACCTGTAAAATAATCGATCAACAAAAAAAACATACAAAAGTTTACAACTAACTTTATAAAATGCGTGTAACAAATTGACAAGAAGAATCCGCACCAATTTTCTTCAGGTATAAGCACAAGCACAATAGTACATTTGTTGTGTGCACAACTATATATTGTTTTGTTATTTTCTGAAGGTCATTTCTGTGCATTTGTGTAAAATAGATCTGATCATTTGATGCGATTAGAACGTTTGATGGCACATAACATTGTTAATATCCATTCGCCACACACGATGAATTTCGGAATTGAAAACCAATGGATTAGGTTGGAGCGCGAGTTTGCCTGTTGCCAAAATAACTGTTAGTTATGTAATGAAATATTTTTAAAAATCTCACCTATTAACAGGATATCGTTTTGGTTCATTTTAATTTTCTGTTATAGCAAACAATTTGTCATTGTGTGATATCGGCGGGTGTCATTATTTGAGGTAACATAATTTGTACAGGAAATCTAACACCAGAATCGCACTGTAGATTATGTTCTCTGTTCTTATTCAAAGTTGTAGAAAAATTGGATGCAGGTTTCCTGTAATTAGTGTGACGTACACTTGTTCATATCACAGACTCATTTACGCGCTCGTAATTGCCACTGGTGTTTTTTTTTTTAAGTTAGCCCCGATACACTCAATGAATGAACAATAAATGAATTTTCAACAATTCAAGCAAAAGACATAGTGTAGTTAGTGAGGTCGAAGTGTTCGACTGATTGGAAAGATAAGTTTTGTTTTTTTATAACGGAATCTTTTTTTATGTTTTTATTGCTTGATGTTTAGCTTTGAAATCATTTTCGGACACCATTCCAAAACAGAATATTTATCTTTCAAAAGAAATATGACTTGATTACCCGATTGACCTTGTAAAGGGTACCTTAGGTAATCTATGTAACTCGGTAAATTTTCATACAAAAGTAACTTGGATTTCAACTTCTAAGTCTTCTGTTACATCAAGCTCTATTGCTATCTTTGCGGTGAATTTTCTATAAAGAATTGTTAACCAATTTCAGTATTAATTATTTATGTCCATAGTATATAAATAATCTTTAAAGGTTACGCGAGCACATTCATTCAAATATGAAACTGTGTTTTAGCGTGCTTGGCCATGTGCTTACTTCGATAAAAAAAAGCAACCAGCAGTTATTTTTGCGTATCTGAAACACCAGAATTGAGGTCTCAAACATCGTCATTCATGGGACATTTTATTGCGTCAAAAAACTCCAGTCAATTTACAAATTAAATGAGTATTTCCATCGACTCATCAATAATGTTGACAATGATGAGCATTTATACGGTACAAGTGGTGCAGCATAGTTCATTCATTAAAAATGAAAAAAACTGTTTTGGTTACCCACTCTCATACGTGTATGTCGGTCGTTTATAGTTTTCATCTTCTTATTAAAACATTATATACATTGCATAATCATAACAACGAGTAGAAACCAAACGACCCGTGCGGAATTTCATGATCTTTGTACCATGTTTCTTTTGTTTTTTTTTTTTTCAATAGCAAAAAGTGGCAGTAGTAATACAACCGACGTCAGACACATGGAATGACGATTTGCATATGTTTTGAGGCAAACCATCAACGGGATTTGAACATATGCACTTGCACTGCTACATCTTTTCTATTGATTTTTCGATTGTGTGTCTTGTAATGAACAGTATTTTTAGACTTTGTCGAAGACGAAATTTTTGCGTTTTTGATATACAAACAAGTGCCTCAAATAACATCTGACCAAAACTATAAACTACATGGACTATGCCTTACACATGACCGCACTGATTTATTTTGTTGGTGTTGTTGTTGTTGACGATCGAATTGGAATAAACGATAAACCACAAGTGAACTGAAACGATTTCATAATTGTTTGAAAAAAATCAAAACATCAGAGGAAAATTATGAAGAGAATTCCGGCCGTCAGTGTGGCAAAAATGGATATCTTTGTGCAGCGTACAGAAATCAGCATTACAAGATCCAACATGAAATAAAATAAAAATGGTTTTATTTTAGTCATGCACTAGTGATTTGACGTATTTTGTACATTTAATGCGGACGGGCGTTTCGTAGTGGTTTTCTTGGAGTTGCATATACCACCGCGTTGTCAGCACAGTTGAAACACATGTATGATGACACACCGTAAGTTTGACTATGATGTTTTGTTTTCTTCTTGTCGCTTATTATTGGCATGGTGCCAAAGACTAAGTCATTATTAGCATATCAATTCCCGATTGGCTTTAAAGAGACTTAAAACTTGAGTTTTTCAATCTTAATTTAAATTATTTGTTGCTTTTGAGATTAATGATTTATTGATACAATTAAATCGACTGAATCAAAGGAAAATTATTTTAAAAAAAAGTGAAAGTATGGCGAAAATGATTGAAAGATTGAAAAGCCACCATAATAAAACCAATCAATGTATATGAAATAAGAATTTTTCGTAAACTTTTCAATTTGATCACACCCCCTCACTTTCGATTCAATATTTATTTCTGTAAAATATATACTTCTGCAGATTGATAACAATGTCATTGTGCAAAATATTCTGTCGTTTTGTTAACAAAACATTTTTTTATCTTTTTTCCTTCTATTTTTCATCCTTTTATGTGAATTATTTTTCATTTAACTTTTTGTTTGCCTGTTACCTACCGACAGCACTGCTTCAGTTGAAACAACTTCCACAACGGTTTTTGGTTACACTCATACGAGTGAGATCGAATGAACAGCTACTCTCATGCTCATATCGGTAAAAGTAGCAAATGAAGTAGCGTGTTTGAATTTAGTTAATGGATGACACCGCAAACAACATAAACAACTCTCATTCATAATCTCTTCTTTTGGTAGTAAATTATTTCGTTGTTCTGCCTGATTTTTTCTCTCTGTTTTTTCTTTATTTTAATTTGAGCAATTTTTCAATGATCGCTGATGAATGTTTGAGTATTTTTTCTTCTTTACCGGCGGCAGAAATTCATTCAAACAATAACAATGCGGTATACACAAATATTATAAATCGTTTTGTATAGAGTGTATAGTTACAGCAAACAACGATTCGTTTCAATGCATGTGAGTTTTTAAACATCTCCATTCTCAGCTCAAGATGTGCATAAAAGAATTATGCGAAATCACTTAAAATGAAATTCGTTTAATGCCTAGAGAACGAATGTATCAGAATTAAGATGTTCATCCTAATATGATATGTTGATCTCAGAATTCATCAAAAATGGCTAAAAACAATTGTTAGAATACGATGAAATATTTTTTCAGTTTTTGAAAGTTATTTTCGAAATTAGGGATTCATTACCGCCTTAAACATATTCTGTATAGAAATATCAACACGCGATAACAGTGCGCTGTATTTTTTTATATATGGCGTTAAATGGATGACAGAGATCTGTCACATAAGTAGACTTCTTAAGCACCGTAGTAACAAGTGCACAGTTTCATTCATTATATCAATGATGTACTTCTAATTAGAAGAAGTAGATCAAAAAGTAATTTTGCTTCTTTTTTTGAGTCTACCAATTTTGACCGCGCGTTCTTTCGATCACTTTTAACTACCTCTCACATTTTTATATCATTTTGTTGGACATACTTTATCTATCCCACTGTCGTTAAAATATTTAAAATAAAAATTTACTCTAAATGAGATCAACGGCAGGAACCTGCCCATTGCACCCAAACAATGTGTGCAATAAGTTAACCATTTTAACATGTTAATCGTCTATAATTTTTAGAAGTCTTAGAAACATACCGGTTCCTTTTGACTGCCATCTTGAGAAAGTGCTTCTGTTGAATGATTTTGATTGGAGTCGGTGATTGTGATTGTTTTCTAAGGAAAAATAATAAAATGTTGATGGTTGTATGTATCCATACGTTCAAAACTAATTTACCTCGACATCAGCTGATTCCGGTTTCAGTCCCTTGCGTTTTAATATTGTTGATTGTGTAACAGCTACATATTGTCGTGTCGCTGGTGATGTTTCTAAACTTGAAATTCCATCACTGGACAAATCGTCGCCATTACTTACACTGCTGTCACTTGCATTACTGCTATTTTCACTATCGTTACCTGAAACGAAACCAATATAGGTTGCAGTAATCAATGGTGGCAGTAATACAATACTATAATTAAAATTATGTCCATAGGCCTTTCAAACTACTTACCTTCTGAGTTTCCACTACCAGTGCTAGTTCTAATATCAAAGCCGCTTGCGCTAGTTGAACTGCTTCCGATTGTTGAATTACTATTACTGCTCGTATGACCAATTATACTAAATTCTGTCACTAATAAATCTTCTTCTTGTGCGCAAACCAATGATGTCGATAAAATCTACGAAAAAATGGTGTGTGTATTTTTAATGAATCAACAAAATGCAACTTGAAGTGTAATCACAAAATCGAAAATTCTCTTTAATTCTACAGCACCAAATAAACACCATACTTACCAAAGACACGATTAAAAGACTTGGCAAAACGGTGGTGGCCATCATATTACTCCACGATATCCTGTCAAATAGATTGAAGCACAATTTGAATAGATTTGCCAAACGAGTTGAATAAATTAAATGAAACTTTTTTTCGTTGTTTTTTTTTATCTGTGAGCACAAATCAAAACACATATTACATACACTTGACTGTAAAACAAATTACGTAAGTATAACTGATTTGTGTATAACGTTGAATCAAACATATATATTTGAAATGTTGCAATTGAATTGGTTGGGAATCTTCACAAATTGAGTAAAGACTGTAAATTTATTTCTTTTTTTTCCAAAGATAAATATGTACAAGTCATCAAGCTAGTCATGAGGCGCCCAATGGAAAATAAGTACAAAATGTGATAGAATAACAATAGACCACTGCACTTCACTTCTAACTCAATCACTCACCGCACATATACTTAATTTTCTATTCATCAACTCTTCGTATGCCAGATTTAAGTTGGAAATTAACTGTTTAACATTAAGTGAAATAAAAAAAAAACTATACACACATGTCAAAACCTTGTAAAATCTCTTACTTGATGTTTTATTTTAATTTGAAGTATAAAAGAAAAACAATTGCGAGGAAAAAACGTTTAAAATAATTTGTGATTTTAATTAAATTTTTTCGGTCTGGTCCGAAGCACCTGGCAAAAACTGATCGCAATTGATGTTTGAATTTTATTTAATTAAATCGCAGCACCCAGAAAAGTTTTTTTTTTAACACTAAATCTAAGCGATTTTATGTCGGTACAATTCGATCAAAAAGAACCAACGGAATAGCAAGCGAAAGAACCAACCATCGACGCACCAACCATCCAAACTATATATCGGTTTTACAAAAAGGTCTACTTCTCACTTCTTGATATTTTGGAATTCGATTTGTATTTGTCTCACATCATAGTATTGTAACATCAGTAGTGGTTTATGTCAACTATACACAACGTTCATCTCACGCAACTAATGAGAAGCAAAGAAAATGACAGCAAAAAAAAAATATATAACAGAATATACCGAACGAAAGCAATTCACAAATTTGATGCAGTAATAAAAATAAATGCGCACGCAAATTTTTCTTTTTCTAACTTTGTCATCAATAGCGTAAAACCGTTCACAGGTATGATCTTACTTATTTATTCTCTTGTAGGTGCAAAAACATGAAAATTAGAACCGTTCATTTTGAATTTGTCACGTAAGATGAAGGTCATAGCAAAAAAAATTGGTTAGCCATGCTCAAGTGCCGCTTCTTTTTACCCATCATCGTCTTATTCTTTTTTGTGTCTAACAAATGTACGAATATAGTTCCGTTGGTATGATGAAAATTCTGCCGCAATGATATATAATCGTTTCAAATTTTAGAATTGGAGCACTATCAAATTAATTGAGCGACCATGTAACTATGAACATTTTACGTTTATATTTACATTTTTTTTTTCGTATAAAATTGAAACATGGAATTTAGAAAATACAGAATATTACCAAAAAAATAGTGTAAAAGAGTTGGCTATTGACAGTTGTTAATACATAATGCAAGTATGTACAAACAACGAGTTTGCTAGATTTCTAAAGATTATATTCGGTATTCTTTAAAAAAAATAACGTTGCACCCCAATGCGCATTGCATAATACTTATTGTTTTTCGAATAAATTAAATTATGTCATTGGAAGCATCCACATGGAATTGAAATCAAGTGATTTTAAGTACAGATTTCAACATCCTAACAGTCCACAACATGAAATCAAAATAAAAATAGTAACACCATTAATTTGTTATCTGAGCACCACGATCGCACAATGACCGAAATATGCAAAAAAAGAAACAATACTTAATAACAAAATCCAATATCGATGCAAGTATTTCTCACAAACGAATAACCAAAAAGTGCAATCATTCGTTATCTTTTGTTCGAATCAAAGCATCGTACATTTTTGGACTGAGATTTTACTAGAGATTATATAATTTTATTGCATTTACGTAGTTTTTGCGTTTGTTTGTTTTTAATCACACCAAATTTCTTCTTTGGTTGCGATGAATGGAGTGAGCAGAATACCGCAGAAGAGAAAGGCGGACGATGTGTAAATCATCATATTACCACAACAACATCAGAATCAAGCAACATTTTAATGTGGTCAGTCTCCCGACTACTTTATGCAAGCGCCAACACAGATTGATAAATTCATTCATTTGAATTTATTTCTGTGTGAAATAAAGTGTGTGTTTTTGGATTTCATTTTATCTTTGCACGCTTGAATGAAGTGCTCACTCTTATCAAACAGACGGTATTTATTCCGGACGGAGTGTAGCTCAATTCATGAAGACCGAAAGCGTTTGAATCAAAACTAATATATTTTACGTTGAATACGTTTTGAACGCGTTCATCATTCTACATGGAAAAGCCAAAACATCATCAATCATTTTCAAAAAAAAAAAAAAAACGTTCGCTTCATTCGATTGCATTGCATTGAAAATGAAGAGCACATTCGAATTTGTTCAATAAAAAAATACATTGGTTTTGAGCCAAATGCGTTTAATTTTTTATAAATTATAATAATCTTTATTCACCCACGTTTTATTTCTCTTTTCTTTTTTTTCTTTGGTACGAAAAGTGTATAAAAAACATAGGTACTATATTGGTATTGTTTATACTCATACATAGTAATTCAACATCTGATTAAACAAAAAATCGAAAAAGTTTAAAAAAGTTCAGCCGATAAAGATCTTTTAATTGAAAATTGTGCTCATTATCGAATTAGTGTAGGTTTTTCTTCTCAATAGTTCTTCATTTAGCGTATAACGTATTTTTCTCGTTTTTTTTTTTTTTCAAATCAAAATTCCAAAGCTTTTGAAATGTATAAAAGAATTCAAACAGATAAAACAACCGAAATTTAACGAGAGATTGATGCTGAATTATACATACGATACAGTTAGCGCTTAAAAACACTTTGGCAATTTATTGCGGCGTTTAATTCAAAATCATTAGTGATGATTTAAACGATGTAACATAATTATTATGTATCTCATAATAACAACTGACAGTAGAATCCAAATCAATTTCAATATATAATACTCATGATGTGAAAACATTTGCACAATAAGTCACTGTAACATTATGTTTGATTATGTTATTTTCAAACCAATTTCCCGAACAAAGGGACAATGACACTAAGTAAAATTGTTTGACGATAACGTAACATTCTAACAGTCTAACAGTCACATAGAATATGCGTAGCATGACCAATTCATCTTTTTTATAGGTCAGAGTTTCTTGCTTTTTTTGATTTCCCATTTTTCTCACTCAGTGTTTTCGAATAAGTTAGAAATGAAATTGGTCATATCGAAAAGTAATGATAATTTACATTGCGATGTTGTTATGTATTATGTGAAAATGATATCATTTCCCATGTCAAACCACGAAGCGCACATCTCAATGGCACATCTGAATATGATTACTCACTCCCTGCGTACACGAAATTAAAATGACTGCTTGCAAAGTAAACTATTTGACGGAGTTGCACCTCTTTTTTTAATAATGATTAACGTATTGTTCTTGATTAGTAGATTTAGAATGAGATCACATTCACGTAATGATATGCCCGTTTTTTTTTTTTTTTTTTTTGAGAACATTATTCAGATCTTCATTGCTTTACGCAACTTGGAACGTTTTCAATATGTTAAAAGAATATACCAACTAGTTGACACAATTTAAATCGTATTTGGGACATTTCCTGATCAACAATTTTATAGGAATTAAATTTATTTTGAATTTAGTATTCACCAAAAAGTAAACACGGCCCAATGAATATCGAAATAAATGCATGAAGAAAAAAGCTGTTCTTTATTTTTCATCGTTAATTAGTTTTGTTCTAGCTCAAATTCGTTGTGCGTTTTTTTTTTAGTTCCATGAAATTGCTCAGTGCCCGTACTTTTTTCGAATTGTCTGTGGATTTTTGCAGTTTTATGGTTGGCTTGAGTTTGATGTAAAAGATTTAAAACCGAACGATATTCACCAAAAACCCCAGTAGCAGTATGGCATACATAATAAATTTGATTATAATTTGTTTTTTTTTTTTTTTGATAAATGAAACCAAATTCCGTTCTCTCCGCAAACAGTTTATACGTATAAAGAAAACAGATTTCAGTCGGGAAATAAAATATCATAATTTACGTCTATATTTCGCTTCTGGTATTCCACGTATTTGCGATACAATTTGTGGCCCGGTTCTTCACTTGTTCTAACAGCCAAACGTAATTGAGATGATGGAATGTGATACAAAATAAAGAGATAAGTCTATACTAAATTGTTGTTTTCATTATTTTTTAATGAGAGACAAAATAAACACCAAACTTATGGAGTGAATTGTTCTTGGCCGCTGAGATAGATTTGTTTGAATTGACCATGGCAACCCCTGCTAGTTTGGATTTATTTTCAAGATTTTTTTTACAGTTATTATAAGTGTGTCAAGATGACGGGATGAGATAACAATTTATCGTATAACCAACAAGTGATACAAATGAGTTTAATTTAAATTTAGAAATAATGATCGTGTATTAGAATTGTGTCAGCATCTGACCAAACTGTTTGACGATACGTACATTTCTATCTAACATAAAAAATCTGGTTATTTTTTGTTCCGTATGAGTTTCAATACAACAACAAAATTTGGTCATGTTCCATATTTTCATAGTATTCATTGACGATTTTTTGAGAAATTGGTGCGTATAAAATTGGTTTCATCTTGTCAAAACATTATCACGATTTCGACATTTTGTACCGAAAGTCAATAGCATCTTCTTGATCTGAACATTTTCGGCAAAAGTCGTGAGATTTCAAGTTAAATCAAAGATAAGACAAATTGACGAAGCATTGGGGCTATCATTGTTTCTGCAAAAATGAGTTGTCTTATGGCTTTTTATGTATAGTGGTTACGTATTTAATCAATATGTACGTAATACTTTTCGCTTTTATGGCCGTATCTAACTCAAAAATATCTGTATTAATTCAATTTTTCTAAATTGAATATATC